CTTGCTGGAAGGTGGCTGAACCTGCTGCAAGTCACCATTGACCACAGCCGTGATGGACAATGGCTCCTCCACCACCTTGGAGATCTGGACCTGGACCAAAACCTCTTTGTCCACCGTGGTGACCAGCCCAGCCCCACACCCTTGGTGACACCCTGTTGAGACATGGGGATGTTCTGGCCTCACCAGGTCTCCTCTTGCACCAGGAGGAACATCTCGAGGTACTTTTGAAGTACCTGTTGAGACATGGGGATGTTCTGGCCTCACCAGGTCTCCTCTTGCACCAGGAGGAACATCTTGAGGTACTTTTGAAGCCCATCAACGTCCTAGAGACATGTTCTCCAGCCCATCCCTCCACCAAGATGAGACCATGAGGACCCCACGGAGGGGAAATCCCCCCCATCAAAGCTCTGGGGCTTGTTGCTGTTGTTGGAGGACACCGAGGTGGGTTTTGTGCCCTCCATGGTGGTGCAAAGAGCTCTGGGTGACCCCAAAGTGCCCAACAGATGTGCCTCATGGTGGGGTGAGTATGTCTAATGCAGTGGGGTCAACAGGTCTACCTCGTGGTGGGGCTGGCTACCCCGTAACTATCCACCCCATAGCTGTCCATAGCTGTGGGTCTAGCCCATGGTGGAATCCATGGGGCAACCCCATAGTAGGGCTAACAGGTCAACCCCAGGTCTACGTACCCCATGGTGGAAATGGGTCGAACTCATTGGGGCCAACCCATCAAGCCCATGGTGGCACCCCCATGGAGTCGACCCCATTGGGCCAAGAGGTCTACCCCAAAGATTCCACTCGGATCTCCTGCCCCTACGAGCTTCAGGGCACCTTGGGCCACCTCTTCCCCTTCTCCAGCAGTAGAAGACGTGGTGAAAAGCCACGTCCAACACCCCTTTATTCATCCAGCAACATCTCAACAGGGTCCTTGTGGTCAACCCCTGCCTGCTCCTCACCCAGTGCTCGGACCGGCCGGCTCTGGGGATCTTCATCATGGAAGAGGAGGAGGAAGCGAAGCTCTGGGTGGGTCCATCCCACGGCCAGTGTGGGGCTGGGTTGGGAGCTCTCAGTTCCTTCTCATGGTCTCCTGAAGCCACCGCGTGTACTTGCAGAGGTTGACGTAGACTCCGGGTTTCTTGGGGTCTCCACACACACCAGGACCCCAAGAGACGATCCCTTGGAGACGCCCATCACACATGAGAGGTCCCCCGGAGTCACCCTGATGGGGCGGGACATGGGTCCCATGGAGGATAACAGGGCTCAGGGCAAAGATCCCCCCCAGCTCATGGACCATTTGGGGGTTCACCTTCCATCTCCAGCCCCCAAATGGTCCCACCTCCAAGCCCACGTACCCACCAAATGCCACCCACTTGTGCCCAATGGCAGCTGCTAGAAGCTTCCCTCATCACAGGACCTCATCCAAAGGTCCACCAATGACCATGGACCTACCTGGCAGGAGTCGGCCCGGCTCTGGGATTCACCAGCACAAACCATGTTGGGGGTGATGGAGTCGGGGTAGATGTGCCGGCATTGGTCCTCTGAGATGATGGTCACCTTGGTGCAATGGAGGTCCTCTGGGAAGTTGACTGTGGGTGATGGAGGACATGAGGTCACCCATATTGGAGACACGGATCAGAACATCCAACCCAGACCCAACTTGGACCTCATTGGTGGTACCCAACAGGAGCTCCAAAGCTTCTTGGTGTCCTCACCATGGTCAAAGATGGCCAAACTTAGCCCAACCTTTACCCATGTCCCCATGGGGATGTGACCCACACCAAGAGGTCCCCATTCCACCCCATACAGGCGGGTCGCCTAGGGCTGGTGGTGGACCCCCATCCTGAGATCTGACAGGTCTTGCCAGGCACTGGACAATGGGAAGCCAATGGCAAGGGCTTCACCTGCTTGTTGATGTGGATGGGGAGGTGGAACTTGATGAGCATCAGGTCACCGTCCTTGTTGGTCTCGTTGTACCATGGGTACTTGAAGACCATGGCTGAATGTCTCCTCTGCTCGGTGCCACCGGAGTCCTTGTGCCTCCGGCCACCCAACCGCACGTTGATGAAGCTGATGGAGCCCAAAGCATCGTGGTTGGTGGCGTTGGAATGGACACAGATGACCACGGAGACCCACCAAAAGCAGATTCATGGACCCAGAAGAAGCCAAAGCAGAGCTAAGGTTCTACTCAAGCAGAGCGAAGCCTCCTGAGATGCCACCAACCTCTCCCAGCCACCAAGCAGGACCCCCAGGGTGCCACCTAAAGCCAATCTTGGTTGGCCTCAACCCATAGAGACCAAATCCACCAGGTTCCTACCCTGGGACGTGGCAATGGGCGGCCGTCAGCACCCAGTTCTTGTCCACCAGCGTCCCACCACAGATGAACCTGTCTCCTTTGAAGAGGGCAGCTTGCCAGGGCAGGTCACAGGAGGTCCCCTCGATCACCCATAGGACGTTCCTTGAGGCTATGGGGACAAGGGGAGGTGACACAGGTGGCCGGGGACCTTCTGTGACCACTTGTGGTGGCCCCATCCCCATGTCTCCAACCTTCTGCATAAGGAGGGGAATGAGTGGTGGAAAAGGCCAGATCAATATGGGGGACACTGGGAGGTCCATAGAGTGGATGTGGGTCCATGGGGTCAATAGGGAGAGGTTCACAGGGTGGATGTGGGTCCACGGGGTCAATGGGGAGAGGTCCATAGGGCGGATGTGGGTCCATGGGGTCAATGGGAGGAG